GTCCATTTGTATTTTTTCTTATGTTACAGCCTAATCATGACTTTTACTCATTTTTCAAGATAATTTTTTTTAGTTTTTTAATGTTTTTATTTATTTTTTGAGAGAGACTGAGACAGTGAAAGCAGGGGAGGGCAGAGAGAGAGGGAGACACAGCCTCTAGGCTCCAAGCTGTCAGCACAGAGCCCAATGTGGGGCTCAAACCCACAAACTGTGAGATCATGACCTGAACTGAAGCTAGATGCTTAACCAACTGAGCCACCCAGATGCCCCCTTTTACAATCCTTTTTCTATTGAACTGTCATGATTATTTTAGGAGAATTCTATGCATTTGGCAATCATCCTCTCTCCTACTCATCTCTACTGGATTACTGCCATCAGTATCTAGCATTAATATACCCCATTTTAATAAACACACACATAGCCCAGAAATAAATGCTCACATATATGGTCAAATGATTTTGTCTTTCTTTTTTTTTAATGTAATCTCTGCACCCAATGTGGGGCTCAAACTTAAAACCTGAGATCAAGAATCACATGCTCTACTGGGGCATCTGGGTGGCTCAGTTGGCTAAGCATCCAACTTTGGCTCATGTCATAATCTCCCAGTTTGTGAGTTTGAGCCCTATGTCGGGCTCTGTGCTGACCGCTCAGAGCCTGGAGCCTGCTTTGGATTCTGTGTCTCCCTCTCTCTCTGCTCCTCCCCACTCATGCTCTCTCTCTCTCTCAAAAATAAACATAAAAAAAATTTTTTTTAATAAAAAAACAGAAAGGGGTGGGGGGACTAGGTGGCTCAGCCGGTTGAGCATCCAACTTCGGCTTAGGTCATGATCTCATGGTTCATGGGTTCGAGCCCCGCTTCAGGCTCTGTGTTGACAGCTCGGAGTCTGGAGCCTGCTTCAGATTCTGTGTCTCTATCTCTCTCTCTTTGCCCTTCTCCCGCTCACACTGTCTCTCTCTCAAAAATAAATAAACATTAAAAAAAAAAAAAAAAGAATCACATGCTTTATTGACTGAGCCAGCCAGTGCCCCTCTAATGATTTTCAACAAGGGTATCAACATCACTCAGTGATGAGATGAAAATCTTTTCAGCAAATGGTGCTAGGAAAGCTGATACATTTGGACCCTTACCTAATACCATATACAAAATTAATTAACAATAGATCAAAGACATTTATAAATGTAAGATCTAAAACTACAAAACTCTTACAAGAAAACATAGGGGAAAGCTTAACATCAGGTTCAGCAATGCTTTTTTTCTTTTCTGCAATGCTTTTTTGAAATATGACACCAAAGCACAGGCAACAAAAGAGAAAGAAAAAGATAAATTGGACTTGAGCAAAATTAAAAACTTTTACTGTCAAAGGATACCATCAACAAAGTGAAAAGGGAACCCACAGTTTAGGAAAAAATATTTGCAAATTATATTATGGGATCAGAGATTAATATCCAGAATACAGAGAACTCTTGAAACTCAAAACTAAAAAGCCAACCCAGGGTGCCTGGCTGGCTCAGCTGGTAAAGCATGCAACTCTTGATCTCAGGTTTTAAGTTTGAGCCCCACATTAGGTATAGAGATTACTTAAAAATAAAATCTTTAAAAAAACAACACCCCCCCCCCAAACAAAAACTCATTTCAAAAATGGGCAAAGGATCTGAACAGACATTTCTTTAATGAAATGAAAAAATATATAAATGGCTAATAAACACTTTTAAAAATGTTCAACATCACTAATAAATGTGAATCAAAAGCACAGTAAGACAACAAGATACCATTTCACACCCATTAATATGGCTATTATCAAAAACAAAACAAAAAACAGAAAACAGTAAATGATGGGGAAGATGTGAACAAACTAGAATGCTTGTGCACTGTTTATTAGGTAGGAATGTAAAATGGTGCAACCTCTATGGAAAACACTATGGCAGTTCCTCAAAAAATTAAAAAGCAAATTACCATATGATCCAGCAATTCTACTTTTGGGTATATATGTCCAGAAAAATAGAAAGCAGGGTCTTGAAGAGATGAACACCCATCCTCAGAGTTGCATTATTTGAAACAGCCAAAAAGTAGGTGTCAACCCCTGTCCATCAGAGGATGAATGGATAAATGAAATGTGGTATATATATATATATATATATATATATATATATATACATATACACAATCCAACATTTTTTTCCAGGCTTAAAAAGGAATGACATTCTGACACATGATATAATATAGATGAACCCTGAAGACATTATGTGAAAGTGAAATAAGCCAGACACAAAAGACAATACCTTATGAGGAGTTCACTTTTATATGAGATATCTAAAATAGTCAAGTTCATAGAAACAGGAAATGGAATGGTGGTTGCTAGGGGTTGGGTGGGTGATGGAAATGGGGAGTTATTATTTAATTGGTACAATGTTTCAGTTTTACTAGATGAAAAAAGTTCTGTGAATGGACAGTGGTGATGGTTGTACAACAGTATGAAAGGACTTAATGCTACTGAACTATACACTTAAAAATAGCTAAAATGGTAAATTTTATGTTATGTACATTTTTTTTTTAATTTTTTTTTCAACGTTTATTTATTTTTGGGACAGAGAGAGACAGAGCATGAACGGAGGAGGGGCAGAGAGAGAGGGAGACACAGAATCGGAAACAGGCTCCAGGCTCCGAGCCATCAGCCCAGAGCCTGACAGCGGGCTCAACTCTGCTGGGACCTTGATCTGAGATCGTGACCTGGCTGAAGTCGGACGCTTAACCGACTGCGCCACCCAGGCGCCCCTATGTTATGTACATTTTACCACAGTAAAAAAGAAACAGGTATAAAAAAAAAGCATATAGGCTTAGAAAGTGAAAACACAGACAGATAACAGAAAACTCTTTCTTGACTTCACACCCCTTCCAGATACAACCTGATTCATTATGCAACTTCTTGAAGAAGCTGTGCAATAATGCTTCAGTTTCTCACTAGATCTACCCTGCTACACTCCTCAATGGGAATGGTTCTAAAAAGGGCCACCCACACTTCAACTTGACACCTCTCAATGGTATAACCACTCCCACTTCTTTTGCTTCTCAATTTCCTTTATTGGACACCCTTCATTATCATGTCTTTAAATGTTAAAGTGCCCCAGAGCCAAAATTTCTCTTTGCCATTTAAACTCCTTCCATACTTGATCTAATTCACTCCCTGACTTTAAACAATATCTGCCACTGTTGACGCCTAACTGTTTATATCCAGCTTTGACCTCATAAGCTTCATACTTATTTACCATCCATCTACCTACAAGACATTATACTAGGATAACCAATAGACATCTCAATCCTAACAAGTTTAGTTTTGTTTTTTTGGGTTTTTTTGAGAGAGAGACAGAGTACGTGTGGGAGGTAAGTGGGAGAGAGTGAGTAGGGGAGAGGTGTAGAGAGAGAGGGAGAAAGAGAGAGAAAACCCCAAGCAGACTCCATGTCCAGAGTGGAGTCCATTGTGTGGCTTGATATTATCACTATGAGATCAAGACCTGAGCCAAAATCAAGAGTCAGGCACTTAACCAACTGAGCCACCCAGGTACCCCATTAAACCTAGAATGTTTAAACAAGAATTCCAAATTTCCTGCCACCACCTCCCCCAACTCCTACACCAGCTTTTTCCTTATTTCCTAAATTAATGATAGCATCAGTCACTAAGTTGCTTAGGACAAAAACTTAAATATCATTCTTAGTTTTTTTTTCTTTCCCTACAAACTATCCAGCCTTTCCACACCAGGGTTGTGAGTGGAGAACAGAGTCTTCTTGGTCTAAAATATCCATTGTATGTAATGAACTAATTTCTCTCCTATGTATCTAGAATAGTAATAGTTATGTACCACCCTTCGGAGAATTAAGAAAGATAGGAACCCCAGTCAAGAAGGGCTGCTAGAAAATGAGCAAGTCCACTTCTCCACTGCAGTAACTCCAGAATAGATCACCATATTTCATATACACTCTCAACCCCTTTTAGACCTTTCTCCATACAACAAGCAAAGTAATCTTTGTAAAAGGTAAATCAGATCATAAATGCCACTGCCATCCCCCCACCACCTCGATTTTCATTCTCTAGAGACTTGCTTCTAAAATCAGAATAAAACTCCTATCTAGGTCTTACAAGGCCCTATCTGATCTAGATCCTGCCTACCTCTCTGACTTATCCCCTAGTATTCTCCCTTCTGCTTTGTTTATCATATTCAACCATACTGGTCTTCCTTCAAATATTCAAATATGCGGAGCAAATCCTGTATCAGTGAATCCGCATCTTCTGTTCTGTTTACCCTGAAAAATGGTTCCCACAGATCTTTGCATGGCTGCCACCTTCTCAACCTTTAGGTCTCAGTTCAAAAGCTGCCTCCTCAGAGACTTTCTCTTACTTCCCTAACCTAAGCAGCACACTCCTCATCTTCCTATCCCATTCCTGTTTCCTTCACAGCACTTTTTACTAACTGAAATTATCTTTACTTGTCTACACGTTTTAATGTCCGATTTCCACCACATGAATTTATGAATGTAAGATCCAAGAGGTTAAGTATTCCGTCTTGTTTGCTGTCCAGCACAGAATATTCAATCAAGAAATATTAGCTCTTGGGGCACCTGGGTGGCTCAGTTGGTTGAGCGTCTGACTTCAGCTCAGGTCACGATCTCACAGTCTGTGAGTTCGAGCCCCGCGTCGGGCTCTGTGCTGACAGCTCAGAGCCTGGAGCCTGCTTCTGATTCTGTGTCTCCCTCTCTCTCTGCCCCTCCCCCGCTCATGCTCTGTCTCTCTGTCAAAAATAAATGAACATTAAAAAAAAAAAAGAAATATTAGCTCTATATAGAAAATCTACAGTCAGTTCTGAATAGGAAAAAAGGCTATATGTATTTGTAGTCTTAAGTCATTATAAGAGAGGTGTTTAAATATTATTATTCTAAAAATAACCCATCCTCTAGCTTCCCAAATGACACACAGAGAAATGACACTAATAGGATCTTTTCCACTTACAGTTTCGTATGTAACAACCAGCAATTGATGACTTTGCCAAGAGCTCCATTCCCAAATCCTGTAATCTGCCAGAGTTTTCGGTTCCACATGCAGCCAGAGCTGCCTGGTCAGCAGAAAAAAGGCTTGCCTGCATGTCTCCGGAAGCAGCATTGCTGCCTTTGATTTCTGAAAGTGTATTCTTTACATCAGTTTTCATACATCGAACTTCAGCCATTTGAGTTTTGAGTCTTTTTAGCATCTTTAAATCAGAGGGAACTCGCCACATTGCCTGCTGCTTCCTTTGGTCTTTATCTTTTCGAGAATATGATGCTTTAGACAGAAAGTTGTAAGTCATGTTAATAGAGACTTCTATTAAATCGTTCTATCATACAGTCAATATATGCAAACTTGAAGTGTAAAAAGCTAAGGTGCTCTGGTGGAATCAACAATTAAAAGCATGCATTAAGTTCCATTAATGAAAATAAAGATAGATCCAAGTATCCTAATTTTATCCATACCTTCAAAGTTAGAGTCTGGATCACAATATAATCACTCAAATCAGAATAGTTACCTAATTCTAAAAGTTTTAAAAAGCTGCCTTATTGCCTGCCTGTGCTTTCTTCTTTATACTTCTCCATTTTTCTCAAATTTCCTATGCTGAGCTTTTATCATCTTCATAACTGACAAAAATGAAAAAAAAAAAAAGAACCCAAAAACCTAGAATCCAAATTAAGTAGTCAAATCTGCTATACATAGTATATAAAAAATATATATTCCATCTAAGTCTAAGAAGGTTTCCAGTGTAGTTACAGCTATTAAGTGCCATAGAACAACATAAAATACTTCCCCATCAGTCTTTGCAGCTTCTAAAGTAACAATGTTTTCTCTCTTCCCAGAGAAAGTAGTTGTTTTTCACCCATCCCACTCCTCAAATATTAAAATAGAGGTATAAGTAAGGAAACTACAGACTTTCTACTGCAGAAAGGAAAAAGATATCAATATTTTGAAAATCAAAGAATGTTATGACAGACTCAAAGCAAAAAGAAACCAAGCCTTACCCCCCACCTAAAAAAACAAAAATGGGGGACCAATAGCCACTAAATAAAAAAGAACAAGTCCTTTATTAGCAGGAATGACAGCTGAAACAGCCTGCCTTCTAGTATAGAAGATGAAGTGCTGTAGAAAGTAAGCACTGTAATGTGTTCGACAGCCAATCCCCCACCCACTTCTACCTTGCAGAAAGGACTCAGATTGTGTTCAGGTATCAGGCAGTAGGCAGCAATGTGCTCAGGGAGGTTAGATCCCTCCTTTGGCCCCAGGACATACAAGAGTCTAGAACTGGTTCATTCTTCTGACAGTGTTTAGGGTGGGTACATCACTCAGCCAGCCAAAAGTCTGGGGTGGAAGTGCTTCTGAGAAAGATTTTCTATCTTGATAGGGAGATTTTACTGTCTTTGTTTATTTAAGAAACATCCATAAAGAGCTTACTGAATGTCAGATATTTTAAGGAAATTAAGTCATTTAATCCTCTCATATCAATCCTCTGAGGTAACTAAATACTATTATTATCTCCATTTTATAAATGAGCTAAGTAAGGACAGATTTTAGAAATCTAGGATTTAGTCTCAAATCTACCATTTAGTTGCTGTAACTTTCTCTAAGTCCACCAACTTCTGAGTCCATTATTTACTTGTAAAATGAAGACAATAATATACACATAACAGGGCTGTCATGAGGCTCAGAAGACACAATGTTTGTGAAAGCACTCTGTGGTGTAATCCTCCATCCAACCCCTTTCCACCAGGATGTCAGAAATGTTTTCTAAAACCCAAATCAGTTATTATTTTCTATTGCTTTCCTGCTGACAATCATTCACGAAAGCACCAGCGTGGAACACGAGGCCCATTATCTGATTCTACCCTACCTCTCAGTGGTTTTATCTTCTACCTCTACCCCAAACATATTCCAATGTTTTGGTATTACCTGCAACTCTGTAATACATAGGCAATGCTATATCCCCTTATGCTTTTCACATGTTCTATTTCCGATGCTCCCTCTGTTAACTCAAGCCCATCAGATGAAATCTGAAATGTCTACTTCTTTAGGCACCTAAACCACCAATTGCCTCACTTCTTCCAAATCAATTCTGACCCAATTTTGTATAATACTTAAGAGTATACTTCTACTACAGCACTTTACACATTATAGTAAGAAAGACAAACATACAGACTGAAAAACCAAAGGGTAGAGATAACATCTTAGTGATCTTTGTATTCCAGGCTGAACAGCTTATGGCACAAGATATTCACAATTTTTATTTATTTATTTTTGAGAGAGCAAGCAAAGGAGGGGCAGAGAGGGGGACAGAGGATCCTGAGAGAGAGAGAGAGAGAGAGAGAGAGAGAGCGCACAGAGGAAGGGCAGAGAGAGAGAGAATCCCAAGAAGGCTCCACACTGTCAGCACAGAGCCCGTGACTTAGGGCTTGATCTCAAGAACCGTGAGATCATGACCTGAGTCAAAATCAAAAGTCAGACAATTAACCAAGTCAGCTTACCCAACTGAGCCACCCAAGAGCTCCACAAGATATTTCAAAATGTTTTCCTAAACAAAATCTAGTACCCCACATCTACATGGACTTAAATATGAAAATCTGTATTAACCCACATGGCCCAGTTTATTATTACTAGAAACTGACAAGAACTTTAAAAAGTAAAAATCCCAAATGGGAAAATATAAAAAAAAAAATTAAACAAACCTCCATCAGCTGATAATCAAACAACTACCAAGATTGTTTGAAATGCTAGGCACTGTGCTGGGCAGGACATACAACAGTGAACAAGACAAACCCTCAGTCTTTGCTCTCACAAAGCTCTCAGTCCAGCTGGAAAAATGAAAAATAATCTATTTCAGTACCATGTGATAACTGCCAAGACAGGAAAGTGTAATGGGATCTTATACCACAGGAACCTGACAATTTAAAGAAAGTTACTGCGCTGAAAATAAGAAGCTTTCCTGAATGTGCCAAGTTACAAGGTTAATTAGAATTGAGAATCTCATCTGTAACCATTCTTTCATATCATTCAGTTATGGCCTTCAAGATTGATAGTTCTTTAAAGCTTCTCCTCCAGATTTCAGCATCAATCAATGCTACCACCATTCTGCTCACCTAAGCTTTTTCAGAATCATTAGCACATTCCACTCAATTGCCAAGCCCTGTAATTGTAACTTCACAAGATTCCACATACTACCATTGCCATGCTACAAATAAAATCTTAATTATACAGAGAGTAGATTGATGTATTCCTTAGAAGTTAAGTAGAACTTTTATAATGTCAAAAGATTCTGAAGATCTCAGATCTACGTATTTTTGCGTATACAATGACTGAGAAAATATCCAGAAATGTATGAATTTGCCCTCTCATACTAGGAACCACTGAAATAAACTTCTACAATAATACCCTCATTAAGCTTCCATTTCTGATAGTTTTCTGGGCATTGCCAGCCTTCTAAAAAGCAGCTTGAATCAAACCACTCCTAAACTGCAACTGGCTTCTCAAAGCCCACTATGCATCATTCCTCAGACTAGGCATGCAACACCTTCCATGGAATAACCCTGTCTGACTTTCTATTTCTACTCACCACTACATGTACCATAAAATCTGGTTCAAATATATTATCTGTAATTCATACCCTGATTGATACCTCTTAAAATGCTTTTACAGTACAGTATGATGTTTTTAAGAACATGAACCTGCAGCGAGTCTGATACATAATAGGTTCACTCAATATGTACTGAAAGAATGAAAGGAAAATAAAGGAATACTAAGGACAACTTTATGCCAACAAATTTTTGATAACTTAGCTGTAATGGACCAATACCTTGAAAGACAATCTGCCAAAAACCGAAGAAGAAAGATAATCTGAAGAGGCCTACATCCACCTTCTATTATCTCCAAGAATATAAGTAGGGAATACTTCCAAGGAAGAGGGAATACTTCCAAACCCAATCTACGAGGCATTACTCTAATATCAAAATCAAAGACATTACAAGAAAACTACAGACCAGTATCTTTCATGAATAGAGACCAAAAAAAAACCTCATCAACAAAACATTAGCAAATTAAATCTTACAGTGTATATAAAAAGGATTATATACCACAATTAAGTGGGATTTATCCCAGATATGCTGGTTTGACATTCGAAAATCAAATAATGTAAAGCATCACATTGTATCAATAGATGCAGAAAAAGCATTTGACAAAATCCAATACCCATTGATGAATTTAAAAAAAAAAAACAAAAACAAAAAACAACTCTTTGGGCACTTGGGTTGCTCAGTCAGTTAAGTAACCAACTCTTGGTTTTGGCTCAGGTCATCTCACAGTTTCGACTTCAAGCTTCACATTGGGCTCTGTGCTGACAGCACGGAGCCTGCTTGGGATTCCCCCCTGCCCCTCCCCCACTCACGATGTCTCTGTCTCTCTCAAAAATAAATAAACTTTAAAAAAACAAACAGGGGTGCCTGGGTGGCTTAGTCAGTTGAGCATCTGACTTCAGCTCAGGTCATGATCTCGTGGTTCATGAGTTCGAGCCCTGAATCGGGCTCTGTCCTGACATCTCAGAGCCTGGAGCCTGCTTCAGATTCTATGTCTCCCCCTCTCTCTGCCCCTCCCCCACTCATGCTTGCTCGCGCTCTCTCTCTCTCAAAAATAAACATTAAAAAAAATTTTTTTTAAAGAAACAAAACTCCTAGTAAACCAGAATAGAGGAAAGTGTTCTCAATTTGATAAAGAATAGCTATGAAAAACCTATAGCTAACATCATACTTAATGGTGAAAACCTCAAAGCTTTCCCACCAAAATCAGGAACAAGGTAAGGATGTTCCCCTTCACCACTCCTTTTCACCACTTTACTGGAAGTCCTAGCTAATGCAGTAAGATGAAGGAAGGAAGGAAGGAAGGAAGGAAGGAAGGAAGGAAGGGGAAAGAAAGAGAGAGAGAGAAAGAAAGAAAAAGAAAGAAAGAAAATGAAAGGTACACAGATTAAGAAAGAAAGAATAAATCACTGGAATCTACTCCTAAAATCCTTGCTGCATTATATGCTAACTTGGATGTAAATTAAAAAATTAATTAATTTTTTAAAAAGAGAAGAAAATAAACAAAGAAATAACTGAATAAACAAAATAAACACTGAAACCGAAACAAGCATTTTAATTAAAAAGAAGGCTGGATCTATCTGCAATGTTAGCTTTTCATATTTTCTCATATAGGTTATCTTCAGTTAGTTTCCATGACTTCTATTTTCTTGGTTTCTTTCCTTTCCAAAGGTTCTTTAATCTGGTTCATCTTCCACACACTTAGTAAAAACAGATGTTCACCATAATCATCCCAGGCCCTCTTCCTGTTAAAATTTTCTTAAAACTCCCTCTTCTACAATCTAACTCATTTAGTTTTAATTATCCAGTATCACCTCTAGGCAAATAACTGCCTATATTCCGCTTCTTAATTTTTTAGGTATCTAATAGGCATCTCTATTTTGATACCCACTGGCATGTAGATATTTAAAGATTTGCTCTTCCTCTCTACTGTTCCCCCTTCCTCATCATCAGCATTTTGATCACCTGGATTGGAAACTCAGATCATTTCATTTATAGTATTAATTTTACATAGAAAACTTATTTTTGGATAACGAAGATCTTATTCTGTTAATAGTGTATATTCATTTTTCCATTGATGTTGAATGTTTTTCAAAAACATGATTTTACCTGTCTATAAAATACACACGGTTAAGCTATAATTTTTCAGACATAACTATATTGTTGGATATTTTCAAACAACTCTGACTGTTTTCTATTTCAGATATACTCCTAGAAGTGAAAATAAGCATTGAAGGATAGAGGTATTTTATTTATTTATGTATCATTGTATGTATTTATTTGGGGGGGGGCAGATGGAGGGAGGGAGGGAGGAAGAGAGAGAGAGAGACACAGAGAGAGAGAATCCCAAGCAGGCTGGTACTGTCAGTGTGGAGCGCGATGCGGGCTTAAACTCACAAACCATGAGATCATGACCTTAGTCATAATCAAGAGTCGGAAGCTTAACCAACTGAGCCATCCAGGAGTCCCAAAGGATAGAGGTATTTTAAACCTAGTACTAAAATTTCCTTCAAAAAAGTTACCTGCAGTTACCTGCAGTTTCCTGCAAAAAAGTTACCTACCTTCAAAAAAGTTACATCTACCTGCAGAATCATAACTTGTCTGTTCCACTAGGTCATTGCAAGTAACACTGGCTGTAATTTAAGCAAAACCCTTGTCAAGGTGTTTTCTTTTCTTTTTTTTTTTTAAAGCTATTTCTTTGATCACAAGAACTATATGTGATTTTTATTTTCTTTGCAATTTTCTGTATTTTCCAAATTTTCTACAATAAAAATATCACAGAAAAAAATGTAAAATTATATACAGTGTGATTAAGTTTTATAAAAATGCAAGTATAATACAAAATGTACTTGGATCATAGATAAAAGACAAGTATTTCATAACATAACTGGAGACAATCTTTCAAATTGAGGATCCAGACTTCCCAGAGTATACCTTAGAAAGAAAGAGGCCTAGGGGTGCCTGGGTGGTTCAGTCAGTTAAGCATTCAACTTCAGCTCAGGTCATGATCTCATGGTCCTGAGTTCAAGCCCTGCGTCGGGTTCTGTATTGACACCTCAGAGCTTCAGATTCTGTGTCTCCCTCTCTCTCTGCCCACACCCGTCTCTCAAAAATGAATACACGTTTAAAAAAAAAAAAAAAAAAAAAAAAAAAAAAAAAAGAGGCCTAAATAATCCAGTCTCTGAGTTCACCCTCCAACTAGAGCAGTTCTAGGTGTTTTCTACATCAAAGCTCTGCCTCACATTTTGAAAAATGAGTTCTGTTGTTTTAAAGAAGCATCAAAATCACTGTTCTAAATCACTGATATTTGATTTGTATACTACTACTGTTTAAAAAGGCAGGAAAAGGGGCGCCTGGGTGGCGCAGTCGGTTAAGCGTCCGACTTCAGCCAGGTCACGATCTCGCGGTCCGTGAGTTCGAGCCCCGTGTCAGGCTCTGGGCTGATGGCTCAGAGCCTGGAGCCTGTTTCCGATTCTGTGTCTCCCTCTCTCTCTGCCCCTCCCCCGTTCATGCTCTGTCTCTCTCTGTCCCAAAAATAAATAAACGTTGAAAAAAAAAATAAATAAAAAATAAAAAGGCAGGAAAATACTAAGTATATTTTAGAAAGCTAACAAAAATGGTTTTTAAAACATGGCATTTAAAGGTAAATCCTTAGCTGTTCAAAATAAGTAGGCCTGAGAGTTTCAAAACCTCCATGTTTGACAACACATCTAATATGTGTGGGTATACATCACATTACAGTAATACAGATGTAACTTCTCTTTAACAAATAACCTCTGCAAATAAAACACTGATGCTAGTTGGTATACGTTCTGAGGCAAATAAAACACTGATGCTAGTTGGTATGCATTTTTAGGCTACTGAACATCAAAGCACAAAACCATCTTTTTTATATTCAATTCAGACACAGTTCCACTTACAAGTTAGGGTATTATGGGGCACCTGAGTGGCTCAGTTGGTTAAACATCTGACTTCAGCTCAGGTCATGATCTCGCAGTTTGTGGATTCAAGACCTGAGGTGGGCTCTGTGCTAATAGCTTAGAGCCTGGAACCTGCTTCACATTCTGTGTCTACTCCTCTCTCTGCCCCTCCCATGCTCATGCTCTGTCTCTGTCTCTCAATAATAAATAAACGTTAAAAAAAAAAAAAGGTATTAATGAGTCCTGCAAAACTCTTATTAAGTCATTCACAAAGAGGACAACAGTACTTCATATAAATCAAACTGTCAATCATACACAATCTAAATGCCAGATCATATACAAATATTCTAATAGACATTTTGACATTATTGTGCAAAAACATCATGGAACAATAACAACCAAAAACTTAACCTGATTTATATTAATGTCCTTTTTTAAAAATTTTTTAATGTTTATTCATTTTTGAGAGAGAGGCATAGAGAGAGGGGGAGAGAGAGAGAGCAGGACACAGAATGTGAAGCAGGCTCCAGGCTCTGAGCTGTCAGCACAGAGCCCAACAAGGGGCTCAAACCAACAAACTGTGAGATCATGATCTGCGATGAAGTTGGACACCTAACCGACTGAGCCACCCAGGCGCCACTAAATGTCATTTTTTAAAAGAAGAAAAAATCCGGCCACTTGAACAAGGATATGATTGATTTTTAAAATGACTAATTTGTGATTAATTTGTATTCAATAAAATTTACTAATTTTGGCAAGTTTCCACAAATATATATAATCAAATAATTATTACCACTCCGTGATTTTTATTAACCCCCCCCCCTAGTTTTCTCATTTGTTATTTAAGCTGATCCCTTCTTTCTCCCTTCCTGGCCCCTCTGCAACCACTGATATGTTTTTTTCACCACAGTTTTACTTTTTCAGAATTTCATATAATGGGATCATATAATACAAAATTTTTTGTATCTCATTTTTTTCACTTAACTGATAATTCATTTATTCTTTTTAAATGTCATGTTTTATAATACATAATGAAAAATCAACTTGCTACAGAAACATACTGTGTTCCAACACTTAAATAACACACTTGGATTAAAATGAAGAGTTTGTTTGTAGAATCACAGAAAAAAGGGAAATTACTATTAATATTTTACCTGTGGGCTGCAAAAGTGAAGCAGGAGGGCGAGGCTGTAAGCTCCACAAATTTTCCATACTACTCCGGTCCTTAAGGTCCAACAAATGTATTAAGATTAATGGATCAATGTCTAATAAACTACTGGTAGCAGCAGAACATAAATGTGCTCTTCTTGACATTCTGCTACTGGCGCCCAGATAGCCATGGTTACTACCTGCAAAAGAAACAGAGATGAAGAAAATGCATGCTATAAATTTGCACGAATTTAATTATCATTAAAAGAAAAAGTAAATTGGTTAGTGTGGTTTGAATACTTGTCTATGGACCTGTCTTTTAGGAGTTGGTGTAAGAACATGGTGAGAAGCATAAAGGAGAAACCAGATTGCCAGAGAGGTATACAGAAGCACAGTGACTAAGCACTGGCCTTATTACTATCCAGAATTCTGGAGGAACCCTCAACCCCATCCTTAGGCCTAGAAATAAAAAGGTGATAACATATATAATATACACAATAAGGGAGATAAGGGTGAGGAAAAGGAGAATATATCCCATAACCCAATGGTCTTCAAAGAAAGACAAATCCCCACAGTATCACAGATCCCAAGAAACTAGACACCAAAACAGTACTCTTCTTGAGGAGTTTTTAGACTGAACTTTTTAAGTTTATTTATTTATTTTGAAAGAGAGAGACAGAGAGACACAGTGATCAGGGGAGTGGTAGGGTCAGAGAGAGAGAGAGAGAGAGAGAGAGAGAGAGAGAGAGAGAGAATCCAAAGCATATTCTGTGCTGAGAGCACAGAGCCCAACGCAGGGCTCAAATTCTTGAACCGTGAGATCATGACTAGAGCCAAAACCAAGAGTAGGACACTTAACCAAATGAGCCACCCAGACACCCCTAGACTGAACTTGTTAATGACTGATGCACAGTATGGACACCTATGAGCAATGTGATATCTGTATCACCTATATTGGACTAAGCTCCTTAAGCTAAAGAAACCACTGGACTTGTATCTAGTGCCTAGTAAAATACCTAGCAAATATCAGGCACAGAAATGATGGTTTAAACTGACCTCCTTCAATAAAACTATTTAAATATGTTCTAAAGAAACTTAAAATTTTAAAGTGTTACATTCAACAAAGTCTTAAAATAGACAATATAAAAATAACATAAAATAACCAGGTTCCGACTATTCATGAGTTTTTCAAAGAGATCTGGAAGGAAATAACTTAGGAGAAAAGTTCCAATTATTCACAAGCTTCAAGCTAATTATCTACTTATATATATTCCATCTATATTCACATCCTCACCTTTTACAACTTCCTCTTCCTCTTTATGAGGTTATCATCCTACTGCAAATTTTTCTTCCCAGCCTTGGTACCCCCTGCAACTCCTATTAAAAAGAGCAGAAAACTCCCCTTTTCCTCAAACTGCTACAACTGCTTGGTCCTTTGTAGGAAGGCTCTCACTTCATTTGGTGACTAGCACCATGCCTGGCAGCACCACTCAGCATTCACCTGTACCATGGCCTCTATCTCAGGAGCTCACCTGGATCTACTTGGCCCTCATCCTGCAATGACACCATGGAGGATAAAAGGAATCTCCTCATCAAGGCGGTCAGTATAAATGTTAAACCTTTCTGACCAGGCTTGTTTGCAAAGGCCCTGGTCAATGTCAACATTAGGAGCCTCATTTGTAATGCAGGGGCTGGTGGACCTGTCCCAGAAGCTGGTGCTACACCAGCAGGAGGTCTGGGCTCCTCTAATGCTGCTGCCCCAGCTGAGGAAAAGAAAGTGGAAGCAAAGAACTGCAATTAAAAAATAATTAAATTAAATAATTACTTAAAAAAACCACACACACCTATCTGCAACAGGAATAAAATAGAAATGTGGATAGAAGGGGAAAAAAAAAAGAAAGTGAAAGCAAAGAAAGGAGAATCTGAGGAGTCTGATGATGATATGGGCTTTGGTCTTTTTGATTAAACCTTTGTGACATACTCAAGAAAAAGCTGAACTCTTAAGAAAAAGAAAAAGAAAAAAGCAGAAAACTATCCCCTCTCCACCTTAAAACTGCATCTTACTGATGAATGGATAAAGATGTAGGGTGTGTTGCTCGGATGGAATGGAATATTGCTCGGCTAGAGGGGATTATGCTAAGCGAAATTAGAGAAAGACAAATATCGTATGACTTCACTCATACGTGGAATTTAAGATACAAAACAGATGAACATAAGGGAAGGGAAGCAAAAATAATATAAAAACAGTAAGGGGGACAAAAACATAAGAGACTCTTAAATACAGAGAACAAACTGAGGGTTGCTGAAGGGGTTTTGAGTGCGGGGATGGGCTAAATAGGCAAGGG